AATATATTTTTAAAATTTTTAAAAATCTTTGTTTAAAGATTTTTTTTAAATGATACTTGGGATTGAACCATGGGTTGCTTTATTATTGAGCTACATCCCCAGGCCAAAAGAGATGATTTTTGTTCATACTTACAGTATTGCACATAGTAAGCCAAAGGTAATAACAGCTCTTATGTGTTAACTGGAATTTCTGAAATTACCACATAGTGGTCAAGAAGAAGACACATCAAAAAACTATCCATTTTAGTTTCAATTTTGCTAAAACGTCATAGGACCATCAGCAAGTCTTTTAACCATGTCTAGGTTTCTCAATAGTAGGCACTATTGGCATTTTGAACCATAGGGTGTTATCCTGTGTATTGTAGTGTATTTAACAGCATCCTCAGCTGCAATACAGTAACAGATGCCCATAGTACCACTACCCTGATGGTCGAAGATGTCTCCAGACATTGCTGGCTATCCCCTAAGGGACAAAATCCTCCCTTATTAAAAATCACTGGTTCTAGATGATTTTATTTCCAGTTTGAAAGTGTAAAGTAACTTTTACACAGCAGTTTATAGCTTTTGAGGGTCATAGACCTCTTTAATATTCTCAGCACACAGGAAAATACCTCTGAATCTAGAAGGTTCATCCAGAGATCCCCAATCTATGAAATCTGGGTTATATAGTACCTGCTTTAGATACTAAAGTTCCTCCACAGATTAAAATTATAATGAAATTAATATAAATTAAGATTAATATAATTTTATAGCAGTAGTCCAAATATATTTCATTCAGAAAAAAAATTTCCAAAAAAAAATGTTAGTTTGAGGAAATGTTTATAAGGTGAAACAAGTCTTATTTGTGGCTAAAAATTTAATCTCTGAAAAATTACATTAATAATGAACTGCTGACAGTCTAACAAATACTATCTCAATCAAGTTATCTATAGCACAACCATACTTACCAAAAGTATTTCAATGAAATGATGCCATATGATTACAACTTTAGAATTAAAGGGAAGCACTGCAATTAATTACAATTAAATTCGGGAAGACAAACTGTGGAAATAACTAGATAGTAAAGACCATGAGAAATTAATGTCTTGATGAAATAAAACAGGTGATGATGACTACTTTTTTTAAAACAGGATGCAACGTCAGCACTCAAATTTGAAATAAGAGCAACAGCCTTTACAGAACCACATCCAAGAGTTATTGAGCTAAACAAGGATGAGAATGTTGCACATGTAAGTTACTCTTTTAATTGGTCCACTGCAGTTAGGGTGTTCATAATTCCTTTTGCATACCTGAGTCAGGAAACCAATGTGTCATAGAGGACCTGGAACATTTCATTGAGAGGTGGCATTTTACACTGCTGTCAGGAGGAAATGACTGAGAGCTCTTTAGGGAATGAATCAGGTAGCAGTTAGAACAGGATGAACTGGAGGAAGAGTCACAAAGCCCATTTCATTTACTATTCCCGCTAGTGTATCTAGGGTTGTGTGGAATCCGCAAGAGAACAAACGAATGGGGTGGCTAGTTTTAATTATTGTAGGTGGTTGGAAGGAGTTTCAAAGTTCCTAACTGGTGTTTCTTTATTTTGCTTAATTCACATAGGTTCTACTAGAAGGAGTACATCATCAAATACCCAAACGTCATTTCACAATAGTGATTATTTCAACTAGTTTGCTACTTGGTCTTATTGTACTTTTATTGATTTCATATGTTATGTGGAAGGTAGGTCTTTAAAAATGCTATTTTTCCAAAACCAGTATCTCCCAAGTTGTTTTTTTTTTACTATACAGTGTATATATTCTTTATTTAAAAAAATGTTCAGAACTAATATTATAGTTTGGATACAGAACTAGTATTATAGTTTGGATACAGAACTAGTATACTAGTTCTGAACATTTTTTTTAAATAAAGACTTGTAAAACATTGTATATTATGTTGAATATCAACTGGGGGAGGGTCTGAGGAGTCCTGTACTAACAGCAAAAATGCTTCCGTAAACCAGTATTTTCAACAAATTTTTACTGATTTTATCTGGTAAAAGCCCTCATGTAGAGTGACCTGGGACACAGTTTAAGAGTACTGGTTTGACTGAGTATAGCATGTTCATAACTATTCACAATTATTTAATTTTTTCAGGCTGGCTTCTTTAAAAGACAATACAAATCTATCCTACAAGAAGAAAACAGAAGAGATAGTTGGAGTTATGTCAACAGTAAAAGCAATGATGGTGATTAAAAACAGATTACAAGAAGACATGAATTTTTCTCAGATTCTTCCATATACTCCTTTGCTTTGGACCTGAATTCTGTCTTAATTGGAGGGAATAATTCAAGCAGTGATCACTAAAAGAGAATAACTGCAAAGGCAATACTTAATAGCTGAAAGGTCAACTTTAGATATAATGAGTAGAAAAACACTACAGCCTTTGAATTATTAAAAAAAAAAACTAAACCCTTGCAGATATATTAAGTACATCTGAATTAAATCATCTTGAACTTCATATGTGCTCACTTTGGCCAAGGAAATCCACTGAATGGACATTGGTTCATTTCAAATACATCTTTGAGACTTATATGAAGCATATTTTTAAAAATAATTTATAATTTTAAAGCAGTGTCCCTGAATCTTTTAATGAATAAAAGAGGAAGACCATTACTTCAAAGCATGTTTTATTTTTAAAGATCTGCATTTGTAACACATTTTGTATGGCAACTGTTTTACTCCGAAATGATACACTGGTTTCAGCTTAATGGACTGACTTGTGGAGAATTATACAGCTACGGATTTTCCCCCCTGTATATATACATTTTTTAAAGAATATAAACTTTGCTATAGGTATAAATCCACTAGCCTCCTATAATACACTTGTCAAGAGTACCCAGGAGTAAATTTTTTTTAAATCTTCAAACTTTTTTGTTTATAAAACTATTCAAGTATTCTAATTTATATTCCGAAACAGATTGTAAATGTTGCACTTTAGCTGCTATACACTGATATAAGAAATATGAAAACTGTGCCTCCATAGTGATTTATAAAAGCTGTTCCAGGAATGATTAGGGGGCTAACATTTCATCTGTTTGGTACTGTATTAAATAGTCACTGTCCCAAATTAAGCAAACATTTGCCTGGTTGTAATATTTCATTACTCTTTTTGAATATGTTCTTATCAGGTCTATAACAGCATTCACTTCTCCAGGGAAATGGAAAAACAAAATTCATAGTTCACTGAATATTTCCATACAGTGAACATTAATAATGTTTAAAGTTTGTTGATATTCAGATCTATTTTAAAATGAAATAGCTTTCTGAATTTTAAATATTTATTTTGATGCCTGTGATCTAGATGCTGGTGACTTTGGAATATAATTTCATCTGGATCTCTTTATGTGTATAAGAAACCTGTGGCCAACTTTTGAACATCTGTTCTAGGAAGCAATCAAGTAGATAAATAAGAAAACAGTCTTTACTGTGGGGAATACTGCTTTGCATAAGGGCTCTGCTGCCAGCTGTCCCATTCCTCAGATTTTCTGATTCATGGAAGTTACTTATTCACAAGCCTGAGACTGGTGGCTGGAGAATGAGAAATGTACTGTGATTTGCCAAGGCATTTATTTGAGCAAAGTTGAACACAAAGCCTCCTTAACTGTGTACAAGCAAAACTAAAATGTATATATTTTAAGAGCGCTTTTTGTCAAAAAGACATTTTTATGCTTTTATCATCATTATAAAAAGCCAAGTAATATTCTACCCAGCTATCCCACTCCTCAGTCTATACCCAAAGGACTTAAAATTAGCATACCATAGTGACACAGCCACATCAATGTTTGTAGCAGCTCAACTACGAACCAACCTAGACGTCCTTCAACAGACGAATGTATAAAGAAACTGTGGTACATATACATAATGGAATATTATTCAGCATTAAAAGAGAATAAAATCATGGCATTTGAAGGTAAATGGATGGAGTTGGAGAATACCAAGCTCAGTGAAGTAAACCAATCCCAAAACACCAAAGGCCAAATGTTCTTTCTGATAAGTGGATGCTGATTCTTAATGGGCAGAAGGGGTGTGGAAGAATGGAGGAACTTTGGGCAAAGGGGAGGGAGGGCAGGAGGCATGGGGGCAGGAATGATGGTGGAATGAGATGAACATTATCCTAGGCACATGTATGACTGCACATATGGTGCAATTCTACATCATGTACAACCAGAGAAATGAAAAGTTGTGCTCCATTTGTGTACAATGAAATGAAATGCATTCTGCTATCACATATAATTAATTAAACTAATTTTTAAAAAGCCAAATAACTTTTAGAAATATATCTAGGATCACTCCCTCATGAAAAAAGTCAAGCACCAATTTAGAACTGTCTTCTCAAGAATGGTCTCTAAAGAAATTACATTGGAAATCAAGAGCTATGATTTCTGGACCTATGCATCTCAGGTACAAGAGTAACACAGCTACCAATTAGGCTTTTACATAATTCTAAATAAAATGTTATCAACTTTAAGTTTACCTATATGATGAATTTATAAACCTCACCACTGAACAACATTTTCTCAAAGATGGGATTATTCTTTTTTGGCAGACAGGCTAAGCATTAGAAAGATTTTCAAAAAACATGGTTCTGTTTCTGGTTACACAACTAAATGTGTCATTTTGGAATTTAACTTCTCTAAATTTGTTGTCTAATTCATAAAATCAGGGAAGTACATGATGGATTCAAATCTTGTAAAATAAAAGAGTCCAAATGAATTATCTTGATTAAATATTGATATCATAAAGGTTAAACATATGAAACGTTTCAGTTCCAATAAACACCTATACAAACCAGAATTTAAATTGTTTTTGATATTTCATATTTTCATCTTGATTTTCAAAAACCTCCTAGAAGCTTTTTAATATCAAAAATAGCAATTTTACTTTTAAAACATTTTCTTAAGATATCTGTTTAAAGAATGAGCAAATTCCTTCATATTAAAATTCTAATTTGCACATTTCTTTTATAAACAATTACATGTTACTTGGAAATCATTCACTTCTTCCAGGCTTCCTCCATAAAGACTGATAAGTCTTGGATGTAATCTGTAAAGAATATACATAACTTATTATTTAATCAACCTTTGATTTCAAACACATACATGATGATTATGGTACATAGTAATACCACCTAAAAATTACTAATGGCAAAGATGCAAACTTAGAGTGCCTCAAAAAACACTGGTAACTATTTCAAAGCCACCTAGACTAATGCTCCATATTGCCTCTGTGGAACAGTCTGTTGTCCCTCTAGCAACAATACATCTAGTAGGTGCTCCTACACGTTTGCCCATTAAAACGTAACACTTAACCAAGAATTAACTTGTATATTCCTAAATCTATTTGTATCAATTGCTCTCCTCATGTACCAATATGTAAAAGTGTTCTGTAAAATATGTTGAATATTTTGTAAAGACTTGATAAAAGCAAACTCCTGAACAAGGTGCAATGGTATTAGAAATGGCTGAAACTAAAGACTGTATACACCATTCAGATGACTTCACAAAGCCTTGAGATTTTGAACCATTTTTTAAAAATCTATAAAAGTTACAGACACATTAACTGTAGAGTTTATGCAGAATAATTTGGAATGCCAACATAGAACCCGCCATTGCACTATACTATGTAAGAGTTGCTGAATAAATATGAAGTTATACTTTTCTATTGAAAGTTGTGTATGTGTCATTTTTTCCTTCCTTGTTTGACTTTTTGAAATAATGCTTTCCTGCAGTACTAGTGTTGAGTCTACTGGTGACATACAAAACAGTAAAATAGTTAGGCTTACTTGACATGGACCTCAGATGCAACTTCCATTAAGTCCCCATCTACATTCCAAGGAAAACTGTTTTCTAAAGTAGCTTCATGCGGTTTATCCTCCTCTGGGCCACAGCCACTAGTGGTGTTCCTTGGATGAACTTTTACTTCTCCAACAGTATAAGTCTCAACAAATGGAAAATTGAACTAAATAAAACAAATGCAAATAATCATGATATTGGCTTAATCTCTAACTGCTACTGCAAATCAAGAAGGTCTACTGTGGCCCCTCTCACAGGTAAAAATGATGCAAGATAATATTTTTACATCTTTGAAACTACCACCAGGGATCCTCAGTTTTGTTTTTTGTTTTGGTTGAAGGAGTCTTTTTCCTGAAGCTGGTTTGATTATTAGGACAATTGTATAGAACTTGTATGACAAATAGTTCCTATCTATGAAAAATTGCACATAATATTGTATATCTTCCAATAAAAGACTGGATCATTAATATATACCTGTTGATACAAAAGAGTTGTATAATCCATTGACTTATTAACTTGTGAATTCAGCTGGGGTCAAACTCCAATGATGAAGCTTCATACTTAGAATTATGAAATAAAATGTGAAGTATATGTTTTCTTCAAAGAGCCAACACAATCTGATTTTCACAGGTGTTACCCTGCCTCCTTCCCACTCTAAAAATGGCATCCGTTTTAAGAAAACTGATTACTGATCACTTGAGAATGTTACAAGGTAACCTTCAACTTGCAACTTTTCTTCTTTGCTTAAGTAAGCTATAAGGAAAAAGTATATGTATTCTCTGAAATAATTAAGAGTCAAATAATTTTAAGAGAACTACAAAATACTCATTTTAGTTTTCAGACAAATGGTAGGAAATTTACCCCTAATAGATTATCTTCATAGTTTCCCCCCTTATTCCACATATAAACCTCAACGAAGCAGAGTTTTAAAAGGCAATAAAAAGTAATATCTTCCACAACATTGTTATATATGTCAAAAGCAAGATCTAACAGATTGTGCAGTTCATATTGCAGAATAAGGAAGCATCAGCTATTCTGATAGAGGTAGAGTGAGAGGCTCTAAGGAGCTTGTTCTCTGTAAGAACTACAGTAGACCTTCTGCATCAGGCAGAAATTACATGACTCATACTTGCAGAGATTTCTACATAATCACTTATTTTAAGGATTATGTGATTTAAATGAGTCATCAATAACTGGCTGTTATTGGCTAAATTACACCCACCCCCCAAATATCAAGTTCTTAATCCCAGTAACTGTGTATGTCACCTTACTTGGAAGTAGTGTCCTCAATTAAAGATGAAGTCGTTAGGGTTTGTCCTAACCCTACATGACTGATGTTCTTAAAGAACACCACAACACCACGTGATGAAAGGCAGGAGTGATCAAGCTGTAAGTTATGAAATGCCAAGAACTGAATCCACCGCCAGTAAGTCTATGATCTTAAATCATCACACCTCTCAGAATGAAGCACCAGTCATCCATTCAAATTCATTAATGATGAAGCCACAGACATTGTTAAATGGGACTTCAGGAAGCCAACAGTATGATGTGTGAGGTATGTTTTGAAGTGAAGGGGAGAAGAGAAGGCATCAAAATTATACAGAGAAGTGCTATGACAGTGAGGTCTTGGAGCTCAGCAAGACACGAGGCCAGGAGGCTCTGCATGTGAGGAAAGCTTCCCATGTGAGCTGAGAACACAGAAGATTTAACCCTGGAGGAGAGGGGAAGGAGCTCTGGAGAGAGGAAATAATATTTACAAAAGCACAGAGAGATGCACATACCCCCAGGAAAGACCACAGGAGGACACAGTGAGAAGGTAGCCATGTGCAAGCTAAAGCACAGCCTCACAGGAAACTAAACCTGCTGACACCTTGAGTTTCTAGCCTCCAGAACTGTGAAACAGAATTTTGTTGTTGTTTAAACCACCTATTCTATGTGTTGTGATAGTCCTAGAAAACTAACACAATGACCAAGACACAGGGAATCTGGTGGCGGATGGGAAGGAGGTTGCCACACAGGCAGGGGCTAGAATACAAAGGGCCATGTATTCCATACTGAGAAAATTAGACCTCAGCCTGATGACGAGGAGAAGCAGAAGAGAAATCAGTTGTGTTTCAGAAAACTCCCTCTCGAAGGAAATACAGAAAACCAGACCAGAGAAACAAAACAAGGAGGCCAATAGGAGCAAGAAGGGATTAGGTTTAAATTCAAATGAAGGAAAAATTTCTAGATGAGATCCAACAGAAGTAGTTGATGGGAGATTGTGAGGAAGGAGTGAAAGAGGAGTCCAGAGTAACTTCAGGGTGGGTGGCAGGTGGTGCCACTGACCTGCACAGGGAATATGGAAGGAGTGGCTAGAGGAAAGTGATAAGGTCGGCTGTGGACATGGGGACTCAGGATGCTGTGGATTCCATAATCATTGCAGCACACAGAAGGCATAGTGGCTCTGCTGATCAAAAGAGAAGACAGGACCCTTGGGAGACATGATGCACAGATGAGCACTTCAAATAGCAGGGGGCAAGGAAATCACCCAGAAGAGGGTATCCTGAGATGTCAAGAGGGCTGCAAGTATATCCTGAGGAAGCACTAACACTTAAGGGTGTTAAATTACTTACCCCAAATGATAAAAAAAAATAATGAGAAACGGGGGAACTTTGATAAGGGGGTCAGCAATAGGATGGAGTTGAAAGGACTTAGGTTATTTTACTCTATATTGTATAAAGATGGGGAAAGCAACAGTGATTCTCAATCTGTTCCACAACAGATTATATAGTAAAATTCACTTGTTTAACCTGGTAAATGGAGTTCAGGGAACCAGATGTTGCTCTCCTTAGATGGAAGAACCATGTTTTTCCTTCCTAAAGACCAGCATTACTATTAATTATACAACAGATTATATAAACCCACATTCATCTGTCTTTATAATCTTATATAATTTACATTTTTGGGAAAATGTCACTATGAAAGAAAGAGACCAAATACACATGCACACACACACTCCCAATGTTAGTTTGATATGAATCGATAACTTTTAACAAATATATCAAACTAACATTGAGAGCAGTTGCCTTGGGAACCATTCTATTTAATTTTCCTGTATACCATTATATAAGACATTTTGGAATTTGTTTGCAAAAAAATTATAGAGCAATATCATAAACTTTAATTTCTGGAAATAGCAATGTGAATCAGTTAAATCTAATAAAACACACAGGCCATAATTTCTTCCATCAAAAAAAAAAAATCACTGGCTAAATACATGGAAAAATACATTATATCTTGCATAACATAATCTAATTTAAAATCATTTTCCTACTGATATAGAACTATTTTCATTATATTCTGTATATCTTATTCTTTTAGGTAAGCTTTGATTTTGAAATCAGAAGACAGTTATTTTCACTGGAGAAAAAAAAATATGTCTATAAAAATTGCCTCAGAAATTTGCTCCTTAGGGAATTCTATAAGAGATCTTCCATACACAATTTATGCAATAGATGCTCCCCTAAAATAGAGCTTCTCAGGTTCTCATTGATAACTCAATACTCACTTCTCAGGTATTTATTTCATAGTAAAAGATTAGGAAAAAAATCTATACCAAGGTAATGATGTTGATTATCCCTAGGAACAAGGGATGTTGAATGCTGTTCATTTTGTTTTCTTGTTTCTGTTTTCTGACAAAAAACAAAAACAAGGAATATGTTCTGCTTTTGGAGTAAGAAAAATAAAGTTGATTTTAATGTTTAAAATTTAGTAAAATCTTTGTGTGAACATGTTTTCATTTCTCTTGAAGGAATGAATGGGAGTAAAATTGCCAAGTCATATGGTAAAAGAATTTTGAACTTTTAAAGAAACTGCCCAAGTGTTTCCCATTTCCAAACCCAATGTATCATGTCCAAACTGTTCCACATCCTCACTAACCTATGAATCTTTAGTCTTTTGCAGTTATTCTGAGACATGTGTAATCATATCACTCTGTGGTACTAATTTGCATTTCAGTAATGACTACTGATGTTGAGTATCTTCATGTGCTTATCAACTACTCATATCTTTGTTGTTGTTGTTTTGAGATATTTAACTTAAATCCTTTGCATTCCATACTATATTATGAATCATAACATCACTTCTTACCACATAAATATAGACAGCTATACTTTGTCAATTTATAACTTAACAATTAAAATAAACAAATAAAATGATGTAATAAATTAAAAATAAGTAAAATTTAAAAATTAGTAAAATAAGAAAATGCATAAATTCCTTTGAAAAAAATCATTAAATCCACAAATTTCTCCTAGACACACATATATTACTTAGGCTTACAATCACTTGTCTTATATCCACTTGTCTCCTTTGTCTTCTTAGAGATTTATATTAAAGGAAAGTGTGATTATGTCTGAATTTCCTAAAATATCCAGTTGGTAATATGTTTATCAAAAAAATAGATAGAAGAAAACTCACTGCTTGAGGACTTCCTAAGGAAGTTTGAAATTATGAAGGAAGAATGCAAGCTTCTCAGGTTCTCACTAATAAGTGGCAATGGCTCTGGTCTGGAAGCAAGATTCAGCAGCCGGTCATTGGCTGAATCACTACATCATTCCCATCATTTGTTGTTTTTCCACTACATCTAACACTATTTTATACCTTTAGAATATGCAAGGCTATAGACAGAGTTTTACAACCACACCTGTGTACCTCAAGACTCAGACTGGGTCCAAAAATCTGGCAAAAGAATATAACTACTGTCTCTTCAAAGTTAAATCACTTAAGTGGAAATATATATCTCTATGTGTTCTTGTTCTGAATAAAATAATGTCTGCATAAAAGTGGTGTATTATGAAGCATATTTGGAAATCTTTTTTAACCAGTGAACATAGGCAGACCTGCAAATAAATGTCAAAAAAATCCAAAGTGCATAACTTTGGAGAGCCTGCTACCATAAAATCAAAACTGCTGATACAACTTCAGATTTCATTACTTTTCACTCTGAAGAACAGCCTGAGTGTGTGATTATATTCTTAATTTGCTTCACTTTTCAATATAACACAATATTTTCTATTTGGAAAAAAAATGTATAACCCATATCTCATAAAAGTCAGTTTATATTAACACTGGTGGATGTTTTTCAAACTCTGGATAAAATGCAGATTGAAGAAAAAAGATTAATGTATTCAGAAGAAAATAAAGCCTTTTTATGAGGCAAGCCTTGGTGTCAACTCTTGAAGCATCTTTTACTCCATGATTAATAGCTTTGCAAATAAGTAACAAAAAGAAGGCACCATACCTGATTTTTTATACTGGCATATCTTTTCAGGTGTCTTATAAATTGTGGTCGAGAAGTGTTTCGTGCAATTATAAGAGCCATACTTCCATTGTTTATTCTGAAATTAAACATTTGCATTTGACATTAAGAAGTTTATTAAGAGACTTCTTCAGAAGATACTCCATATCATTTTCTTATAACAAATATACTGTTTACTAGAAATATTGGGCAAGATAGCTTAATCATCACCATATTAAATTTACCTAAAACTCTTAAAGTCATATCTTACTGTGTTATTGTTTAAATGATGGAGTTTTTCAAATTAGTTTTACTAAACCATTTGTTTCCTTCTCAGCAAGGTCTTACATCAGGGCTCTTTAAAAAACAAACCATCATGCATCCTATTCACATTATGAAGTCACAATTTAAAATCCACTGTCATTATTTAAAAGATATATTATAAAATAGTTAACATGTACAAATGGTATAATACATAGCTCAACATTTTCTAAAATCTAATGTGTGATTTAAATATTTATTTTATGGGCAGAAGGTCTAAGTGACATAGGAAATGAAATAAATCAAAGTGGTCCTGGGTGGAGGAAATGGAGTGAACAACTGTGCCACACATGTTCAGTTAAATGACTGAGCATTTTAATCTTGCCTAACCATTCCATCCAATATGATAGACTGGAGATTCAGAGGTGTGATTTAGTGCCAGAACAGCCATGCACAAATGCATTCGCTTAAGAAAGCAATTTGCAGAATCCATGCAAACGACTTCAAGCCTGATTTCAGTGCAAACATGAAGTTCTCCCAAGAATATGACATAAAAAACAGCTCTTTAAATCTTACGGGAGCTCAGGTTAGAGCTGTAAGGGACCTTAGAGATTATCTTACTGTTTACTCATTTTATGTAGAAGAAAAAGACCACAAGAGTGTAAATGATGTGCTCAAAGACACAGAGAAAAACAAAATCACCTCCAGCCCCAAAGCTCCTAATTGCCAGGGTCCAGTGTCTCTTCTACTTATCATGCCACCTCCTCCCCTTCGGAAACAGCAAAAAAATGTTCAGGGTAGTGTTATTGTACATCTTTGTTTTTCTAATTGTGTCATTTAATAAACATGAGAAGTATTACCTATGTCTGCTTTTCGATATTTACTAGTAATGGAAACATACTCAGTGTGCCTGGCACTGTTCCAAATGTCTCATATATATCAATGCATTTACTCTTAGAATATGTAGAAGAAAATTAGTTCCTAACACCCAATTTGCACCGAGGTTATTTTGCAGTATATTATATTTTATTGCAAGTGGAAGAAAAGCTGAAAGTAGGATCTCTGATTATTCTGAATCATTCAGAAGCTATATCTCTGATATCTCTGGTCACCTGAGGCCCGGTCTAAAGGGCCTTCACAAAAACTGGAATGTTTTCCCTATAAGCCACAGAAGAAATCCATAATTAATCATCCTTCTTTGAAAAGCTCAGCGATACTGATTAAACTAGGAGAGTCAGCATTGGATTCCCAGGAAAGCTGAACATTGATGGAGTTGCTTTGAAAGAGGTATGAATCAATTGCTCCCCAAATAGCAGGGCTACCTCCCTTGGAAGTCCTTGAGCAAGCAGGGTTAGAAAAACACTGTCTCAAGGACTGCGGGATGCAGCTTCTGGGCCAGCTAGCCACATCTTCATGTCTAGCAGAGGAAACTGCCATTTGGGAAGCATACAACTATCTAGGATTTCTGAGGATGTGGAAAGGAAACAACCAGGCTCCATTTCCAAATCACACAAGCTTCAAAACCCTCCTTCCAACTTTCTGCACTAGACATGCTTAATGTGAACCTTGCCATCTGGGTTTTTATTATTAAAGTTGTTAGTTTCTCTTTTTTTCCCCCTCTATCTTTGGATACATGTTTATTACCTTTATAGCAATTACCAAGGAAGAATTTTAAAATCACTCCCTTTTCTAGATGTTAATTTTTCTGGTTAAATATTTTGCAGGGAAGTTAAAACTAATCATTAGTATGTTATAAACTGCCAAAGTACAGAAGTCATCCTTTCATTCCACTTACAGAGAAAATCTAGAGTTGATGTTGTTACAGTTTGGATGTGAAATGTCTCTCAGAGCCTCCTGTGTCAAAGGCTTGATTCTTAACTCAGCAATGTTCAGAGGCTTTTGAGAAGTGACTGGATCACCAGAGCTCTGATTTCATCTATTGGATTAATCTATTGATGGGTTAATAATTGAATGGACTACTGGGAGATGGAGGAAAATATAGTGTGGCTGAGTTAGAGAAAATAGATCTCTGGGAGCACCCCTTGGAAGGGTATGTATTGTTCCCTACCTATCTCTTCTCTCTCTCCTTCCTGGCCACTATGAAGTGAGAAGCTTTTCTCTACTACACACTCTCCACCACAATTCTCTGCCTTACCACAAGCCTACAGGAATGAAGCCAGCCAGCCAGCTGTGGACTGAAATCATAAGCCGAAATAAATCTTATCTTTTAAGTTGATTTTCTTAGGTATTTTGTAACAGCAATGAAAAGCTAACAAAACCTTATTTTACAATAGTCATGACCCTTTTTACTATACAGGATTGGAATTTGGGAGAGATATTTTCATACTCATAATGGACAATGATTCAAAAAAATCATTATTGCAAGAGCAATAATGTCTATCTATAGATGAAATTTATAAAATATCTCATAATGTATTTAACTAAAAGTATGTGTAGTGGAATCCTATGCATCATAGTTCACATTAAGTGGAACTGAAATGTTTCCTTTAAAGTTTCAAATGAAAACACATGTGCTATCCTTTTCATGTTAAGGATATTTCTGTTTGCTTTAAGAATGAAATAGATATTCACAAGAAACATCAGAATGTAATGTTTTCAACAACCAGTAAAAACGTAAATAAGCAAAGGAAATAAGGTAGGCATGAAATAACAAGATGAAGTCAAGAAAACCAAAGGAATGTGATTTTAGCCTTAGTGATACTAAAAGGTCAATGATTATCTGGCAAAATTTCTAGTTCAACAGTTTTTCTCAACCTACTCAGAAAATTTTGTTATCTGAAGGATAATAAATCCTTCAGAAACTCTTACGTGCCAAGAGACACTACCTATTAGGCAGTTTCTAGCTAGCCAAAGGTAAACTGGGCATCATGAAAGAAAAAATTGGGTTTATAAAAAGAATATCAAGAACTCAATAAAAATGCTTACTTACCTGGTATTAGGTGCCAAGCCTCTGGGTGCCACTGAACACAGGCAGGGAATTGCCATAATGCTGACATTCAAGAACTGACCCTGGATCATTTGCCATTGATCATTACAGTCTAAAGGCAATGAACGTGACTAGTTACTTTCCTCACCAGAGCACAATGCCAATACAGCCTGGCTCAGGTCACAAGGAGGTGCTGCTCTTGGACTTACCAGAGTTGAGTAATCCCTGTGCCCTCCTGAAAGAAAGAGAACAAAACAGAGACAAAACATGTCACACACACACATGCACATGGTACCTATTAGGTATGAAGAAATTAGAGAACCCATCCTTGTATATATTAAAGATTTTATTAAATAGTAAGTGAAAATATATGAGAAATTTTGTCCTGCCAACCTGATAATGTGTTAATTCATCTAATGGTAGAACAGTATTATAAGAAACAATGATTTTCAATTACTTTCATGAGTAGAGCCCTTCCTCAGTTTGGCTTTGATTAATATTTGTTTTCCACACTAGACTAAAATTCTCATGAGGGCCAAAATTGCAAGTTTTGTTTGGGTTTGGGCTCATGAATATATCCAAAGTGTCTAGCATGCAGTAGGCACTCAAACAGCTGTTGAATGAATAAATAAATGGATTCGACTGGATGTATGTGTCCTGAAGACAGAAGCCAAACTATATGCTTACTAGAACGTGCAGGAGTCTGTGATTCTATACTCTTGACTCTTAGTATATAAGAAAATAACCTAAGATCACAAGTCTAGTAAATTATTTCAAAATGTTTTATGCTTTAAAGAAGGATACAGATGTTATTACATTGAGCTTTAACTTACATTTTTGGGTCATCCTGAGAGACATTAAGTGGTAAAAATGATATTTCACAATCCTCTGGCCTAAAATAATAAAATTTATTATTAATAGTCATTGACCCCATGAAACAAAATTCTTGGTTTAAGAAAAATACTTACTCAAGTTTTGCTAGTGCCTTTATTACAGCAAAATCTCTCCGTTGGTTAGGAGACATCCATCGATATTTTTCTGCAAGAGCCAAAGTTCTACCACCAAAGCCAAACATGGCTGAAAACCCAAAGCGAAGAAGCTTGCCAGTGGTACTGAAGGAGCAGACATCAACTGGCTGTATGTGCCCTGAATTTTGTATTGAATATTAGTCAGTGAATGAAGTACATCTAGTTATCAAAGCAGCAAACATCAAAGACCACAATTATTTATCTATGGGATAGTATCTCAAGGTACTGTACACCACAATGAATATCCTTGCTTTCTCTTCATCTCTCTTTACCTATAACTATTATAGACATCATTTGTAACTTTTCTAAATTCTAAGTGAAAAACCTAAAGCAGTAAATTTTTCAGCTTATTGCTATTTCATATAAAACACAGATAAGGAAGTGATGTTGAAGTTGATGCACAAAATAAACTTAGATTTAACTGTAGTTTTGCGTTGTATTTTTCTAAAATAAAATGTTCCAAATTGGGATGATTAATAGACTACAGATGTGTTCTGGTTAAAATAATTTTCTTGTAATTTTTTTTTTATTTTAACATAATCCTAGCCCGAGAGTCTTGGTATACTAAAAAAAAAAATGTTTATGTTATATACTAAAATAATATCCATAGATTCTTCTGGATCTGATTATAAAATTGTGGTTTTGAACATCATTAGTATTTTTTTTCTATCAAGATTATAGTAAAGCTTCATTTACTACTCTTTACAAAACAATATTTTGAATAAGTAATCCAAATAGTGAAGCCCTGCCTAATTGACTTCTTGGTTTCAGTCAAACATTTCTCTGATCTCAAGAGACAAAGAACTTGCCATTCCTTAGATACAACTGGCAGAAATAAAACAGTGTTTCTTACATAAATAAAAACTTCCTTACAAAACAAACTTCTTTGGAAGAATTCTTACCCATTATAATGTGCAAAGTTGCAGTTACTACGTGAGGGACCCCATGAAGAGAATGTGCCAATATGTTAGTAGATCCTGCCAAAGCAATTTTTAAAACATGCACTATCAGTATGGCATATGTTTTAAATTAACATCTGCTCTTATTTTATATAAATGTCACTATGTAATGTTCAGACTAAAAATTAATGAAAATTTATAACATCAGAAAAATTAATGGAAACATCAATGAAAGTACTGCTTTCCCCTGACTGCATAAATGTGCATCAAATATGTACTGTGTTATTTGTTGAACTTTTAAACGATTTGAAAATGAGCAAACAGTATACAGTTCCTATTTAGTTTTTTTTTAATGAATACCCATTTTTCTACCCTCTCCCAAATGCTTGCTACATCAAAGCCCCAACTTTAATGAAGGTGCTTTAGCTTTTAAACCAAAATGAGCACCAACAGCAGAAGGGTTGCTCTGGAGAGTAGTGACAAATGCATAAATATATAATAAAAATCCAAATAATAAATAAAACAAAAATTTAATATTATAAACTTGAATGGGTAGTCTCTAAGTATATTTAATGAGCCTTAGAGATAAGTCCCAAATGGGACTCCTACCTATTATTTGACCAAAAAAAAAAAAAAAAAGAAGATAGTGTCCTATATGAAGGAAGTATTTAGCTTTGGATTATTTTTTAAGGTACAAAAATCTATATCTTAGACAATAAGAAATCAATTTCTCATTGTCAGCGTTACTAGGATAATTTAAGACTCACAAGGATTTTCCCCCCACCAGCCCATACAAAAAAAGAATTCCCCAAATTAGGCCCCTATAACATCTATGTGGGACTGAAATCAGGTACAAAGGCCTATCTCAGAAGGAGGAATACTAGCTAGCCTTGCTCATTTCCAAGAGGCTCAAAAGGGGTTAAAAGTACTAAAAATAGTGAATTAAGCTACAGATTTTTCTTGCATTAAATAACACAGAAAATAAGTCTAATAATAGCTGAGAGTTTCAAAACCACTGGTATGGTGTGCTAATTACTAATTACAAAACTAGTAATTAGCCTGCTCCTGTGTTGGGTTATTGGATGCTTCCCTGTGCAGTCAGACAGGATCCTACTTGTGCCACTTGAAACTATATTCTTGAATTCTCAGTTGGAGAAACTGAGGCATCTCAGCCATTATCCATCAAGACTTCATTACTATTAATTACTAGGTTTCTATCTAAGCATTAATCATTAATAACCATATTTCAATTACTAATAACAAATATACATAATTAAGACAGACCTCTAGTAATAATTTAAAGAAAAATTTGTCCTAACCAGTTCTTAGATTGGTTCCAAATGATTCACCAAAAGGCAAGCTAGGGTCTGTCTAATCCTTATTATCAAAGTATAGCCCACAGAGAAATGACAACACCCACGTGCTTATTAAAATTGGTGCCCATCAGAAACAATACAAGGATGCCCACTTGAACCCCTTCTATTCAAAATAATACTGGAAGTTCTAGCGAGAGCAGTTATTTTTAAGAGAAAGAAATTACAAACTGGAAAGGAAGAAGTTAAATTGTCACTGTTGCTAGGAACATGATCTTATACATAGAAAACACTAAAGACTTCACCAAAAATCTAAGAAGTAATGAACAAATTTGGTAAAATTTCAGGATACAAAAATCAACATACAAAAATCAGTAGTGTTTCTATATGCACTTACAACAAACTACGTGAAAAGAAATAAATAATCCCATTTACAATATCTGCCCTCTGAAAGTACTTAGAAATAAATTTAACCAAGGGAGTGAAAAAACTTTACACTGAAAACTACAAAACACTGATGAAAGAAACTAGAGATGGGACAAATAGATAGATACCTCATGTTCATGAACTGGGAGAATGAATATTGCTGAGATGTCCATACTACCCAAAGCGATTTGTAGATTCAATGTAATCCCTATCGAAATTCTAATGGCTTTTTTTTTTGAGATAGGAAAAATATCTTAAAATTCATATGGAACCACAAAAGACACAAAGTAGCCAAAGTAATATAATGCACCATGAAGACCCATATTTATTATCGTAAACCTTTGGGGGTTTGGATCCATGTTTTCAAACTTTTTCAGAAGCTTATTGAGGTCTGCAAATACTTCCCCCTTTGCTGTGAATTTTCATAGAGGTGGTTCTTTTCCTTCTCCTGCAATTTCTTATCTCCTGCCTCTCTTTTCAGCTGCATATTCACTAAGTAATAGGAATTTTTCAGCTCCATTATAATAGTAGGGAACTACCATCATATATTTATAAATATAATGCATGTAATCATGTATATAAAGCATGGTATATATAGCACACTGACTACATACAAGGAAGTAAAAATAAGTCAAGAAAAAAGAAGATTTAAAATGGCTTTAAAATGGGCAAAGATTTAGAATAGTCATTTCTCCACAGAAGACATACAAATAGCCAAAAAGTATATGAAAAACAAGGTTAAGTATCACTAACCAGAAATGAAATTTAAACCACAATGAGATATCACCTCACACCCATCAGGATGGCTGTTATAAAAAGAAAACAAATGTCCAGGACATAAAGAAATTTGAATCTTGTGTACTTTTATTGGAAATGCAAAATGGTATAGTTGCTATGGAGAATATTATGGAGGTTCCTCAAAAAACAGAAAATAGAACTACTATGTGAATCAGCAACCCCACTACTGGATATTTCATTTCATCAGTATGACAAAGAGATACTGTTCATTGCAGCATTGTTCACAATAGCCAACATATGGGGTCAACCTAAGTGTCCATCAATAAACAAAAAATGGATAAAGAAAGTGGTATAAACATTGCAATGGAATATTATGCAGGCTTTAAAAAGAATAAAATCCTGGACTGAGCGCTCATCTAGCACGTGCGAGGTACTGGGTTTGATCCTCAGCACCGCATAAAAATAAATAAATAAATGTCCAACTACAACTAAAAATAATATTTAAGACCCAGAGAGAAGCCTGCCCCAGCACCTGCATGGGGAGGCACCCTGCCCTGTGCTGGGGTTCCTGATTCACCAAAGTGTGGCTCCACTGCCCAACATCAGGGTACATATAGGCTTGAGGCTGTCGCTGCCATGAAACTAGAATATTGCTGCTTCTATCAAGGGACAACAATAAGGATCTGGTAAGACGTCACCAAGGTCCCTGAGGGTCTGGCTGCAGCAGAGGTATCTTTACTAGGGGTGCTAACAGTTATCCTGTTGCACGGAGTCTTGTGTGGGGTTGCCTCTCTCTTATTTCTCCTACTAACAACCAACTTCTCATGATTACTCTCTCACTAGTCATATAATCTAATTCTCTATAGTCTCACATCCTACCTCATAAACATCTCAGCCAAACCCTCAAAACCCCCTTCTACCATTAGAAACTGCAAACCATTACACAGACCTATTGACTGTATGGTAGAAGACACCTGAACTCATCATTTCTGATTATAGTGATAAAACTGTAAGTGTAAAAATAGAAGCTAACTGATCTATGGCTGCAAATTGGGTACACTGGATGCTATAATACTGATCTCCCACTTAAAGGTGAAGTATTGGTAACCTGTAGGAACACTATAAGACAATAGGGCAGAAGCTGTCATATCTTGGATCTACACTGCAATAGAGAAAGACACATAGACATCATGAAAAACAAATGAGAAAAGTGCCCCAAACAAACCAAGATACTTCAGCAATAGAATCCATAGATAGAGAAGGAGTTCAGAATATACATAACTCAAAAGATTTGGGAATTAAAGAACCACCTAAATGAGCAGATACAGGCAAAAATTGATCACTCCAACAAAGAGATAAGAGAGCAAATATAGGTAGCAAGAGGTAACTTCAAGAAAGAGATAGAGATTCTTAAAAAAAGAAAAAAAAAAAAACAGAAATCATTGAAGTGAAAGAAACAATAGGGAAACCATGAAGAGAATATCCAAGAATTATGGGATACCATCAAAAAAACAAATTTAAAATTTATTGGGATAGTGGAAGGTTCAGAGATTCAAACCAACGGAATGCACAATTTCTTCAATGAAATAATACCAGAAAATTTCCCAAGCATGAAGAATGAATTGGAAAATCAAATGCAAGAGGCCTATAGAGCACCAAATGTAAAAAATTACAACAGATCTACTCCAAGACACATTATAATGAAATGCCTAGCATACAGAATTAGGATAGAATTTTAAAGACCGCAAGAGAAAAAAAAAATCTGCTGAGATCCTAATTCGTCTTCCCATATGAGGGAATTCGTCTTCCCTTATATGGGAAGATGAATTCGGATCTCAGCAAATTTTTTAACTCAGAACCTCAAAGCCAGGAGATACTAGAATAACATATACCAAGCTCTAAAAGATAATGGGTGGCAACCAAGAATGTTATATCCAGCAAAATTAAGCTTCAGATTTGATGATGAAATTAAAACCTTCCATGATAAACATAGCTAGAAGAGTGTACTGCAAGAAATCCTGCACTACAGAACATTCCATGAGAAGGAAATGAAAAATAATAATGAAAATCTACAAAAGGGAAGAACTACAATAAATGAAAAGTCAACCAAAGGAGAAACCAAGTCAAGTTAAATACCAAAAATAAACAAAAATGACCAGAAATATAAATCATGTCCCAATAATAACCCTGAATGTTAATGGCCTAAACTCACCAATCAAAAGATATAGACTGGTAGATTTGATTAAAAAAAATCAACAACAACATGCTGCCTTCAAGAGACTCATCTCATAGGAAAAGACATAAACAGACTAAAGGTAAAAGGTTGACATAAAATATACCATTCACACGGTCTGTGTAAATAAGCAGGGGTTTCCATCCTTATATCAAATAAAGTAGACTTCAAGCCAAAGTTACTCAAAAGAGATCAAGATGGATATTTAGACTGCTTAAGGGAACTATACATCAACAAGACATAACAGTTATAAATATATATGCCCCAAATAATGGAGCATCTACGTTCATCAATCAAACTCAAGTTCAAGAGTCAAACAGACCACAATACAATGATTCAGGGTGACTTTAACACACCTCTTTCACCAC